TTTTTTGTTTTTTTTTTTTAAATAAAACAAACAATAACACTTGTGAGGAATGTGCTTCTTAGTTCAGTCAAGTATACGAGACCAAACAGGCAACACCTGTCCAAAAGCAAAGACAAGAAGGCAGGAAGGGACAGGAAAACTGAATGAATGAACACTGAGAACCTAGGGTGGAAAGGGGGACAGCGCTGATACATCATGGGGACTGCAACTAATGTCATAAAACAATTAGCGTTTAAATTTTTTGAATGAAAAATTAATTTGCACTGTAAATTTCCACCTAAAACACAATAAAATTAAAATAAAAAACTTCTTACAGCTTTAAATTTCCTCCCAGATATTTCCACCTTCTTATGTCATAGCGGAGCCCTGGCTGCGCAGTGGTTAAGAGCCACAGCTGCTAACCAAAAGGTCAGTAGTTTGAATCCACTAGCTGCTCCCTGAAAACCCTATGGGACCAGTTCTACTCTGCCCTATACGGTCAGTTCAGAATTGACTCCACGGCAGTGGGTTTTTTTATGTCATAGCAGTACATACCTGTTTAAAGTATGCACACACTTTTGCAGGGATGCACATACATGCACACAATCTATATGAACTCTCATGAGGCCTAATACCTAGAACCAAAAGGAGAAACAGCCATAAAAATAAAGGTAAATATCGGCAAATCAGAAGTCCAATTTACATTACAATTTAACTTGTTATTCATTATGCTAGTCATTGTGCTAACTCTACTCATTCTTCAAAGTACACCTATATGCCTCACTGCCCACCAGCCACAGATTGCTAATTGATATTTATTCAAAATATACCTTTTACTCTCTCTCAAGGAAATTACTCTGAAAACCTCATTTGTATTAATGCTAATCATTCACTCAGCGTATTTATAAAATAGTCTCTGCAGCTGATGTTTGCATGCAATTTTTATTTGGTCAGAGTACAGGTCCATGTTGCTTCTCTCAAATATTCCAAGACTTAGCAAAGAAAAGCCATGTTCTAGTCTATCTGCTGAATCCCCTACCAAGGAGCTTAGCAGAGACTACCACTCTATGTTACGGATTATTCAATCAATATTCCTCAAATAAAACATATCATCATTTATATAAAAGGTATTTTAGATGCTACAAGTAGACTACTAAACCAGAATTTATGTGTCTTTTAATCTTCCAAAATAGTTTTCTTACTGCTCTTATAACATGCCTGTCCACTCTCACCTTCATGGTTTTCACCTGCAATTAAACTCAATTGAACAAGCGTTTATTTAGAAGCTGCTATGTGCCAAGAGTCTGCTAATCGCTAAGGATTCAAATATAGCTACAAAATGACTCTGTCCTCATCAGGTTTACAGCGTATTAATTTAATCTCCCTTCTTAGACTGCCTTCCCTACTCCTGTTCTGCCTATTCTGAGCCTACCCATTCTTCAAAGTCCTTAGTGAATCTGACTTCATCAAGTTATCCTAAGCTATTTCCCCTCACTGCATTTCCTTCTGCAGTAGTCTAAGCATGCGATGTCTATGCACCTTATTCTCTATGTCATCTTACAGTGTTCTTGTAACATAGCAGTATACACCAACTTTTTTTAACTTTGTTAAACTATAGGTACTTCCAACAAGACTGTAAATTCCCTGAGTATATAGATTCTTACTAACTATAGATACAATTATACTTCTATCAATCAGGAGGATATAATTCTTTCACTGCTATTTCTCAGAAATTTCATAACCAGAGATAGGATCAATAGATAGTAGATGAGGGGGGTCATGATGAAAAAAGTCATTAGCCACTAATTAAAATGACAATGAATCTATAAAAAACATAAAATGTGTACATTTCTGAGTGGCACAGGGTTGCACAAAGGGAGAGAAGAATCTGAGCTCAGATTAAAAGGAAGGTAGGAAAATGCGCTGGGAAGGCTAGATCTTACTGGAAGAGAGCCATCGCAGCCTGCTCAGGCAGACTTCTTCATATTTAGGAGCTGCTGACCTAGAAACACCACATTCTCAGTCAGCTCTCCTATGGAGTGAGGTGTCATCTGAGCGGAAAGACCATGGACCAGCCAGCTTCCTTTAACCCTTTTCAGACTTGTAGGACATATGGTATCCCAACTGCTTTTTATGCCTCTGCAGTTTTCTGGGAAGGATGTAATCTGATTTTAACATGTTTAGCCTCAAGGTCAGGGGCCTATCTATAGAAAATAGCACCTATGGCAATTAGTTTTAAATTGCTGAATGATCTCTCACAGCTGGTGATGGAAACTACAATGGCCAATAGAAACTGCTTATCATTGCCCCCCATCAAGCCGTGACCAGGTCATGCGCCATATCTGCCATACCTCAGTTACACTTCTGCTCAAGGTGGAAGCCTTATGAGATGCATGCAACTCAAGAATCCTGAGTTGGAGCCTCATTTTTGTGTATATTGAGCATTGTCTTAGGTGATGCCTCCTGGATGTGTGATTTTCTCCACTTTTGACAGGTTTGCCTTTATTTCTGTGAGATAAGCCTCCTCACTATGTTTCCCAGTTACTATGTTCTCATGGGAATGTACTTATCTTGAGAATAAACTATTCCCAGTCTTTATTCAGTCATAGTAGCCATTTTCTCCCTGACGCCATTCATTGTTTCCGGTGTTACTGGCTGCCTGCTTTCCTAGCTTCTGAGCAGTAAATAATGCCTTTGCAATAAAGAGGAAAGCCTGGTGGTGTAGTGGTTAAGAGCCATGGCTGCTAACCAAAAAAGGTTGGCAGTTCATGTCCACTCGGTGCTCCTTAACTCTACGGGGCAGTTCTACTCTGTCCTATATGGTTCCTCTGAGTTGGAATCAACTCGACGACAGTGGGTTTGGTTTGGTTTTGCAATAAGGAATAATGCATTGCAGTGGTACTGTTCAAGATACTCGAATTCCTATAAGTTATTCTTACCCTGCATTCAATCTTAGGGCCCAATCATTGTTTCCACATGTAGCAGGTAGAATGCACTGCTGTGAGGAGTTTTGCAGTATTCCAGGGCAGTTGTTTCTGCTTCTTAGATGTTAGTACCACTTTTGCTATAATGAAGAATACATAGTAGTGGTAATTTTCTTGAGATTCAAATTCCTTTAGTTTTATTTATTTGGCCTGTCAGTGTTGCTTCTGCCGTGATGAAGAACGCATTGTAGTGGTAATTTTCCTGAGATAAAAAAGCCCTTGGCTTTATTTATTTGGGCTGTAAGCACTGCTTTTATAGTAAGGAAGAATGTATTGTACCATGTTTTGAAAAGTTTCATGAAAAATAATAAAAAGGCTAAGAAGAAGGAGACCAGAATAAAATGTATGTGCAGTCATTGCCGGGTGACTTCATGTTTTACCTCCTATTTTGCAAATTTTCAATAAATTAAAAAAAGAAAAAGATTTTATCATTAACTCATATTGGCAGGATTTATAACATCCAGGGTCTGCTAGGACATATGGAAACCCAGATAATAGGTATCAAAATCCATAAATCAAAACAAAAATTATGAATTGGTCCTTTAATCAGTATGCCTTCTATCAGTGAAAACACATGGTATCAACAAAAAATTCAAAGGAGAAAACAACTGAGTTTTGAAAGGATTAAAAGGACAGTCAGATTTACCACCTTCACAGCCAAGCCTTACAGTCTGATTATAATGCCCGACTCCCCCCCCCGCCCCCGCCAAAAAAGAAACTTCTTCTTCCTGTTTGATGAGTTCTAAAATCTCTTTAACAAGGCTGGATGGGGAAGAGAGGACCTTCATTTTACAATTAAAGACTTAAAACTAAGGGCATGGTTGAGTTAACATTATACTGTGACTGAGTTTCAATTAAAGTGTAATTAATTAATCAGTTAACAAATGTAAATGATTTATTATTCTTTTTTTTTTTCTCAGCATTATGGCAGGGTGGGAAGGAAGAAATGAAGGAAAAAACGGAGGGAAATCTTTGAAGAGACCAAAAGGTGTTTGATGGGAAGGAACACGTGAGCATCCCCACAGAGGCATAAGAAAGAAGCTAAGTTCAGAAAAGGCTCAGACTTCACCTAGGATTGGCCCTATTCACCTACTATTGTGCTAAGACGAGTAAAGCTGTAACTAAGGAGTTTGGGCCCAAAAGCTACCAAAGCAAAGAACTCTACTTGGTAGGATTTAAGGTTCTCCTTGTTCATTTCTTAAACACCATTAGTTTCATGAGGAGGAACTTCATTCACAGACAATTCATTAAGAAGTATAAAAAATATAAGTATTTGTCAAATTCATTTTCTTACATTTGAAAGTACGAGTCTTTTATTTTTGATTTTCTATAAATGTATCCCTTCAGTAGTTTTCCTTTCTTTTAAAGCAAATATTCTTTGGAAAAATTTTGAGTTAATATAATAAAACAAAAACATGTTTTCCTTCAAAATGTTTCCCAGAAACTTCATATACAGACACTACACAAAGTAGATCATTGATTAATCTGATCCCGGGTGGCATTTCTGGGTTGTTCTTTAAATGAATTTAAATACAGAAGCTACGCCGGAGAAGAGGACCACTGCCAAAACCGAATTTTAAATCACTATTTGCCACTCATAACCGGATTGCCATTCTAAGAATACAAACAAAAGTACAATACTTTAAAAAATTTTTTAAATATACAAGAAAGTTAAAAAAAATTTAGAAAGAATACTGTGTTCACCCTATAGTACAAAATCACAGTGGATTAGAAGTAACAATTCTGTGGGTGCTTTTCCCATTGCATTTGAAAGCCATCCCTTAACTGTGTAGTAAGTGGCTCGATATGAGGGATATTTTCATCATGTTTAAAGCTCGTAAAATCTTAAGACTCATTATTTTGAAAAAAAAAGATCCCCTTCATTTGACAATTAGTCATTCTAAATATTTATTGGTTGACTGTATTTCAATCACATAGTAACTATGAAATGGTAACTCAGAAGTATAGTAGCCCCCTTATAAACATAAATTTTAGTGGCAAAACTTTACAGGATTCAAGAAGTTTTTATCTTATCACCTGTATATATCTTCTAACTGCAGATCAAAATCTTGAAGTTTCTTTTGATATTTCTCTGTAAAGTTACAGAACTCACTAAGGATTGAAGATTTCAAATCAGGGTATGGACATTCCAAAGTTTCTAATTCCATGGGCAGTTCACTAAGCAGGTTACTTTTTTCTTCCAAAGAATGATCTAGTATCTGAAAAAAGTTATATGATTTATTTTACTTCACATAAATGACAAATTGCTGAACAAATAAATTACTATCTGTATCACACTTACTTTCATACTCCAATCTGAAAGATCATTTTGTATTTTCTGTTGCTCCAGATTAAGTCTTTCAAAAACAGCTTTCAGTTGTTTCTTCACAAAGTCAACCTATATAGGACATTTAGAACAACCTTCGGTGGAATGAAAATTACTGCAGTTTAACCAATATTTATATTTAAGAGCACAGGAATTATTCTCAAAAGCCAGTAAGTGGTAAAAATTAGATAGGAAAGTCTCATTGAGGACTTGTGAAACAGAGTTCAAGAGATGCTACAGCCAGACAGTGCTCATTAGAGGTGAGCCTCAACTGGGCTTCCAGACACACGACTCAAAAATGGGCCCAGGAGATACAGTGGGTTCATAGACAGGCTGCACCCACATTTGGATTTTGTTTGTGCTAAGGTAGAGAGCTTACCAGATTGTCTCTACTGCAATCACCCCCCTTCCTTCCCTTGCATCCTTGCCTCTAATTGCCAGAAAAATTGCTGGGCATGGATTTTTAATGATTTTTTTAGATTATTATTATTTATGAACGCAATATAACAACACTACAAAAAAACTGAAAAATAGAGCAAGAAAAAGCACCTATAATCCCACACCTAGCACAACTACATTTATGCTCTAGTCAGGGGAGGCAGTCAATAAGCTAATAGAAAAAAATACATAAGAAAGTACCAGAAGGAGGTAAGTGATGTAAAAACAAGGTGATGTGATAGGGAGTAACTGTGGCTTCTCTCATGTGGGTGGTCAGGACAGAACTCTTGGAGGACAGGACATTTAAGCTGAGATCTAAATGACAAAGTGCCATCAGTGAACAGAAGAAACAGTGCAAAAGCCTTGAGACCAGAACAAACCTGGCACGTGTGAAGAATAGAAAGAAGCTAGTGTCAGTGTGACTGAGCTCTTGTAGGAAAGGGGGCTGTCATGTAGGAGGTGACATTGAAGCCTGTTGTATAGGGAGGATTTGAGGGCCAGCAGCAGCCCCTGGGGGACTTTAGCAGGGGTGGCTTGATCTGTTTTACATTTCTTTAAAGAATGCACTGGGAAGAAGGCTAAGAATGAAAGCAGGGAGATTAGTTATGAGCCCAGTGCAAAATTTCAGGCAAGGAAAGAGGGTGCTTGGACAGATTCAAGAATGTGTTTAAGATCTGGAGTAGACAGAATTTGCTGTATCTTCTATTTAAATCCACAACACGTTTGTTTCTTATCTCAAATCGTTTTAAGTGGGACAAAAATGAAATATTTTTCTCAAAAATAATGGTAACAAACACTTTGGTGGTGCCTGAAAAAGTTAAACAGAATTACCATAAAAAACAAAAATGAAAAACAGTTGCTGTCATATCAATTCTGATCATGGTGACCCCATGTGTTTCAGAGTAGAACCGTACTCCATAGGGTTTTCCATGGCTGTGATCTTTTTGAAGTAGCTTGCCAGGCCTTTCTTCTGAGGTGCCTCTGGGTGGATTTGAACTGCCAACATTTTGGTCAGTAGAACTTAACTGTTTGTGCCACCCAGTGACTCCAGAATTACCATAAGACCCAGCAATTCCACTTCTAGGAATAAAACCAAAGAAACTGAAAGCAGGCACTCAAACAGGTACACTTACAACAATGTTCATTGGAACATTATTCATAGTAGCCAAAAGATACAAATAACCCAAGTGTCCATCAATAGATGAAGGAATAAACGAAATGTAGCACCAGCAGTCCCCGGATTATGAACGAGTTCTGTTCCTAAGTTTGTCTTTAAGTTAAATTTGTACATAAGTCAGAACAGTTAGGTACGGCTTGTATCCAACGTGAGTTAGTCAAATGTTTGTCTTAGTATATAGTATAGAGTGTACCTTTCTATACATAAAATACATTAAAGAAACACTTCCAGATACACTAAAAGATCTTTTAACATAATAATACAGTAATAATAATAATGTTTTGATGTGCATCGCGAAGTAGTGCCCATTTGTTATTATGAACCATTGTATGCACCTCAAATTTTTAATGTAACAGGCTTTACGAGGGTCGGTTCATAACTACAAGTTTTAAGTAAGCCGGATGTTTGTAACCCGGGGACTGCCTGTATATACAAACAATGGAGTATTATTCAGCCATAAAAAGAAATGAAGTTCTTATGCATGCCATTATGTGGATGAATCTTCAAAACGTTATGCTGAGTGAATAAGTCAGACACAAAAGAACAAATATTGCATGATCCTACTTATATGAAACATCTAGAAGAGGCAAATCCATTGAAACAAAAGAAACTGTGTGATTACCAAGGGCTGAGGAGAGGAGGGAATGGGGAGTCAGTAAAAAAAATAAAGGTAACATACTAACCTCTTCTAGCACTTTCACTGAGTTAAACTCATTATGTGGACCCGAACGCTGTAAAATGTGATGCTGTCTGTATTTCAGATCTGCTCTCAGCTGCTGAACAGGATCTATCACATTTTTAAGATACACACACCATTGTTCTGATAACTCTTGTTCTATGGTGAAACAAAATTGAATCAAGGAAATAGTATTTTAAGCTCCTTCAAGAACAGGTAATTAGAGTACAGTTTTACTTGGGGAATCCTTTAAAAATAAACAAACAGCAGTTAATATTAAAAGAACATGAAATAAGTGACTCACTTTTATTTTTCGAAACAAAAATCCCCCTTGAATATAAAATCAAAAGTCTTACCCAAATCCATAAAGTTAGAAAGACATTCACTTCCAAGTTTCTCTTCATTGAGAAAGGATTTTATTTCCAATTCAACTTTACATCTGAAATGGATGTTATCTCAATCATTTTTTTTGTTACAATCATGAACATACGTATGTTTTAAAAATAACTGATAGTTGCATTTTTCAATCTAATTTCAATATAATGTGGTTTATTTATTCAAACTATATATATTTTTTAAATAATATCAGATTGACAGCAATACTCCTCCCACTTTGACGCTGAGACTATAGTCACAGACAACAACCTGTTTAAGAGCGGAATCAACATAAGAATTTTTTTCCAATTTATGACTCCATTAAAACACTAGTTGAAACAATCAAATTCTTTCTTGAAACTAAATATTATGCTGATATCTAGGGTATGAAACAGATACAATTTGAGATGCTCTGGTTGACGTGCGAGAAGCAGGATTTGAGTTCACTTAGCCTTCTTTTGGAGCCCTGGTGGTGCAGTGGTGAAGAGCTCAGGCTGCTAACCAAAAGGTTGGCAGTTTGAATGCACCTGCCACTCCTTGGAAATCCTATGGGGCAGTTCTATTCTGTCCTATAGGGTCTCTATGAGTCAGAATCGACTCAATGGCAACTGGTTTGGTTTTCTTGGTTGAACCCTCTTTTGGTCCCCCAGGGTGGCCACTGGATCACCTAGGGTTCTAGAGAGCACGGTTTGACAAACAGTAAGCCAGGACTGTCTCCACCTTCTTGAATGTTTTAGGGCAGACTTGGAAACAAGAGCAAATTCTCCAATGGAATTGGAATGAACTATTCTAACCCCACTTAAAGGGCAGAACAGGCATCCCACCATGGCGTCACTTTTCCCATCTGTCTCCCAGGAGAAGGGGTTCACAGCTATTCCTTATCAGTAACAAGGCCATTCAGTGACAAACTGCAATCTTACAGTAATATTTGTAGACTCTAAATAGAGCTAAGTCCTTTGAACTTTTCCTTTATATGATATGTACAACTTGGACAATTTTGATAATTTTCTTATCTACTGATAATTAGGACGTTTGGGAAAACACATATGGACTTAGCAATGAACTTTGTGCTAAGATACTGGGTGGGGATGCCGGGATCCTCTTAGGAACTTTTTAATGCTAATGGTGGGAGATGAGGAAGAAAAGAAGATTACAGTGCATGTATGCCACAAGTATCATGAACTCACAAAACTTTAAGATCACAAGGTCTGATACTTTTTCCTTCAAGTTAAACATCTCTAAGTTTAGACAGAGGCCATATTTTGTAGGTTTTTCTCTCCCTTATTTCTGCTCAACAACAACAAAAACCCAAACCAATTGCCATCGATTTGATCTAACTCATGATGATCTCATGTGTGCAGAGTAGGACTGTTCCACAGGGTTTTCAAGTCTGTGACCTTTTAGAAGCAGATCACCAGGACTTTCTTCTGAGGCATCTCTGGCTGAGTTCAAACCATCAACTTTTCAGAAAGCACTTAAATGTTTGCACCACCCAGGGACTCCTACTTATGCTTATCAGCTGCTTATTATGAGACAGTAGTGTTATGATTAAGGGAGGAAGCCACACAGGAAACGTACTGTGTAAACAGGCGAAAGGTATAAGCTTACATACACCTTTGCCAAAGTTCATTCTTTTGAACTAAGGTATCACATTTTCTGCTCCCAAGATCCCTGCAGCATAATAAAGGAGACAAAGTTTCTTATGTTTCTGATCTGACAGTTTCTGTGTACCTACACACCAGCCCCAGCTCACTTGCAATCCAGAAGGTTGTTCCTAGGGCCCTCCTAAGTCTCAAATCAATAAACTAACCTTCCACCTTAAGATGCTGAAAAAAAAGCAAACTAAACCTAAAGCAAGCAGAAGAAAGGTAAAAAATAAAGATTAGAGCAGAAATTAATAAAATATGGAACAGAAAAACAATGGAGAAAAATCAATGAAACCAAATCTGTTTTTTTAAAAAGATCAACAAAATTGACAAGCCTTTAGCTAGTTTGACCAAGAAAAAAAGAGAAAAGACTCAAATTACTAGAATAAAAAATGAAAAAGCGCATACCACTATCAGCCTTACATAAATAAAAAATGTTATAAAAGAATCCAATTAGATAATTTAGATGAAATGGACAAATTCCTAGAAAGACACAAACTACCAAAACTGACTCAAGAAGAAACAATCTGAATAGACTTGTAACAAGTGAAGAGATCAAAGGGGTAATAAAAAAACTACCCACAAAGACAAATCTAGGCCCAGAAGGCTTCACCACTGAATTCTATCAAATATTTTTAAAAGAATTAATATTAATTCTTAAAAAAACTCTTTCAAAAAAAAGAAGAGGAAGAACACCTCGTAACTCATTTTATGAGGCCAGTATTACTCTGATACAAACAGCAGACAAAGAAATCACAAGGGAAAAAAACTACAGACATATCTCTTATGAATATGAATGCAAAAGTCCTCAACAAAATACTAGCAAACCAAATCCAGCAACATATAAGAAGAATTATACACCATGACCAAATGGAATTTATCAGGGTTGCAAGCTTGGTTAACATACAAAAATCAATTAATGTAATACATGTCATCAATAAAAAAAGAAACAAAAATCACATGATATTTCAGTAGACAAAGAAAAAGCATTTAATAAAATTCAACAGCTTTCATGATAGAAACATTTGACAAACTAAGAATCAAAGGGAACTTCCCTGACCTGGTAAATGCCATCTATGAAAAACCCACAGCTAACATCATACTTAATTGTGAAAGGCTGGATGCTTTCCCCCTAAGATCAGGAACAAGACAAAGATATCTGCTCTCACCACTTTTATTCAACATTGTGCTGGAGGTTCTAGTCAGAGCAATTAGGCAAAAAAAAAAAAAAAGAGAGAGAGAAAGAAAGAAAAGGCATCCAGATTGAAAGGGAAGAAGTGAACCTATCTGTATTTGCAGATGATATGATCTTGTACATCAACAAAATGACACAAATTTCTATAGTTCAGGATTTCTCAGAAAACTTATCATGCTAAAGTGCATTAAGTTTCTCCACAAAGGGGATGAAATAGAAAGGATTTTCCTCATTTATCTGATAATGAAACTCATTATTTTCCATGAAATAGCTTGAAGAATATTAATGTTTTGTGGAATATGATTTAGAAAACATAGACAGAAATTGTCTTGGACCCAACGTCACTGAACATGGTGACTTTAGAAAACAGAATCCTGCTCTGTCCATCATGCTAGACTAGTTCCTGGGTGTTCATCAAGTTGGAGCTCTGCAACACATACAACTTCCCCCACATCTGAAGAGAGGACAAATGTCCAAATCTGCCAATTTAAGTACCACGTAAAGCTACTTGGCCTGTACTCCTAGCATGTTCTCAGACAGGCAATGATGGCTTCATAATGGACATCCTGAATTTTTGTGTAACTATTTGTGTAGATAATACGTTAATCTACTTCCTAAATATACTCAGCTGCAGTACAATCACCTGCAGAAGTCAACCTAGTGAAGGGTGTTTTTGAGCCCTCAGGTGTCTGCTTTCAGCACAGGTCCCCGTCCTTCCCGGATAGTGCCAAAGTTCTAGGTAGAGAGTCAGTCTTCTCAGAGCCTCAAAAAACAGATGAGCTTCCTGGGATTTCCAGGCTGCCATCACCACTTAATTATCAATTTTAGAGAATGAGTGAAGCATGGTGCAAGAGAGAAATGGAGTCAGAAGCCATTTAAGCAAACACTAATCAAAGGGATGTGGACCACGTAAGGCAGAGCAAAAGACCATGTTCAGATTCCATAAATGAAACTTACAGCCTAGAGATTTGCAAAAAAATTAGGGCGCTAGGGTAGGCTAAAGCAGAAGCTTAATCCCTCCGACAAGAAGGAACTCAGTAGCCCAGATGGCTTGGTACCTTAGATTCAGCTACTTGATCTACTTCTCAGCCTTGAAAGGGTCTATCCCACATGAGCTTACCACAGAGGCCTGAGAAGGATGTCTTAAAACCACTGGCTAAAGAACTAAGCTCAGGAGCAGGACATAGAGCAAGTTCTCTGGTGCTGAGAGTCATACAGTACTAATACTGGTCTCAGTTAGATCTTTAAAGATACATTTCCAAAGATTTAATTGGTAAAATCCCATGTATCTTCTGTTTAAAGGTGATACTTTTAAAATAATGCCTTCAAACTAAAAACGTGAGCAAGAAAGTAAATATATTTTCATGAAAAATCCTTTGAAAGAAATATAGTAAAAATTATAGTAAAAATTAAGGCTTATAAATAAATCCCCAAAAGTTATTATTCAAAAATTCTTATCAAAATAAAATCTTTTTTTAAAATTGTGCTTTAGGTTAAAGTTTATAGAGCAAATTCATTTCTCATTAAACAGTTAATATAGGAAATCATTTTATGACATTGGTTGCCAACCCCGAGATATGTCAACACTCTCTCCTTCACCACTCTGGGTTCCCTATTTCCATTTGTCCAGTTTTCCTGTCCCTTCTTGCCTTCTCGTCTTTGTTTTTGGGCTGATGTGCCCATTATTCCCATATGCATGATTGGACTATGAAGCACTTCCTCACATGTGTTATTGTTGGCCCTACAGACCTGTCTAATCTTTGGTTGAAGGGTGAACCTCGGGAGTGAGTTCAGTACTGAGTCAAAAGGGTATCTGGGGGACATACTCTCGGGGTTTCTCCAGTCTCTGTCAGACCAGCAAGCCTGGTCCGTTTTGTGTGTGTGTGTGTCAATTTGAATTTTGTTCTACATTTTTCTCCCTTAAAATAAAATCTTAACTCTTCACCACATGGCCAATATAAATAACATCCTCCTTAGTCTCTTAACTAGGCATTATTAAACAGGGGAGTAAGAGTCCCTGGGAAAGTATATCAGAATTTTCAAGGGTTGTAGTTTAAGAAAGTATATTAAGTATTTCAATACAATTTTATACTCATAAATCTTAAGAGTACCCAGTTTTATCAGTATAGATTTCAAATAATTGAAGTTTGGTAAAATCTTTTTTGCTATTGAGGCTAGACCAATTAGATCTCAGGTGATAAGAAGGGAACCCCATGAGAAAAAGAAAAAGATTTTAAGGACAAGTGCTCTAATTCCAGCTTCACATAAACTAGCTTTTTGATCTTCTGCAAACGACTTAAATCTTCTGAAACTCAAAATTCTCATCTGTAAAATGGGGACAATAATAATACCTATTCTGTAGGGTTGTTGTAAGGACTAAATAAGAAAAAGCATGTAAGTACTTGGCACCGTAGTTGACACAAACTAAGTAACCAATAAAAGCTAGATGTCATTGTAGGCTCTTATACAGGCCTGAGACTCGCAAATGGGTGGAGAGGGGAGCAGATCAGATTCTCAAGTAAGGCATTAAAAGGGGTATAGATTTTTAACTATTAAGAAACATCACTAGTACCTTAGACTATTTTTAATTTTCTGTAGTACCTAAATTCTCCACAAATCTAGCCATTTCTCTAAATTTTCTCTTATAACCATTAGTGTTTACTGAACACATTGAAATTAGCCTACATTCTAGAGTAACACAGAAAAGTATCTTGAAATTCTCCTTGTTGTCCAATAGTCAACGCTTACAAGTTTCAGGACAGCTTAGCCTACATTCTAGAGTAACACAGAAACCAAACCAAACCCTCTGCCATTAAGTAGATTCCAACTCATAGCGACCTTATAGGACAGAGCAGAATTGCCCCACAGGGTTTCCAAGGAGCAGCTGGTAGATTTGAACTGCCAACCTTTTGGTTAGCAGCAGTAGCTCTTAACCACTGCACCACCAGGGCTCCCAACATAGAAAAGTATCTTGAAATTCTTCTTTTTGCCCAATAGTCAATCCTTAAAGTTTCAAGACATCAAGGTTATTATTACTTGAAGTTCCTCATTTCCATCATCTTTGTGTCATTCTGCCGAGCTCCTCATGGCACAGTGGTTAAGAGCTTGGCTACTAATCAAAAGGTCAGCAGTTTGAATCCACCAGCTGCTCCTTGGAAACCTTATGGGGCAATTCTACTCTGTCCTATAGAGTCTCTATGAGTCGGAATCGACAGGTCGGGAATGGGTTGTTTTTTTTTTTTTTGGGGTGGGGATGTGGGGTTGTGTCATTCCGTGCCAGCAAAAACAGTTATTCTTCAGACTGATGTGTGTATGCCTCTTCTATCTAGCTGAAGAACAATGTAACACACACATTAAGAAGGGTATGGAATAGGCAAGATAAAAATTCTTCCCCAGTGTCTTCCTTTACATTTGAGTTTGCATCAGTGAACACCATAATTAAGGTTTCCAAGTGAATTTCCTTGTTATCATATTTCAAGGTTTGAAATTTTTCAAATAATTTTCCAATGGGTTCAAACTTTCCATCCACAAAAGCTGTCTTTTTGAGGGGTAAGATAGGTCTGATTTAATTGTTTTCATAAGAGAAGTATAGTGAAGAAGTCTATGTAAATTTGTTTTCCTGTGGTTTAAGTTAAATGATGATATTAAAACTATTTCCAATTCTGAGCCTTCTCCTTCACACTTAGGAATCACTTGCCAGAGGAATAAACTCTTATTAATATGAAATACACCTAAGTCAAAAATAAAGTCAATGGTATATAAAGTATATGCTTAAAAGAATACCTTTTTAAAAAAATACTTTATAAATATTATTAAATGGGAGGAAATACATCTTATCTCTACTTTTGCCTTGATCTGTGAAAATAAATTTATTTTCCAAAGATTACAACTAAGATCACATATGGAATCATTATTTTGTTTTAATTCACCTTGAAGAGACAATTGGAAACAATAACAAGTCAAAAATCCAAACTGAATATTTTAGTCATCATGCAGCTATATCCAGAAACCACTAAACAACTTAAAATCCTTAGTTCATTCATTTAGTCATTTAAGGCATTTACCTATCTCCTTCCTAGTGCTACATCCTACAATGTAAAGATGAATAAAATGGAACGCTTGCCCTCAAGGAGTTTACCACTTTATAAGGAAGACAACTATGTAAACAAAACATTATAATCCCATGTGCTAAGTATAATATAAGTAATTATAATGATAAGTGGGAGTGCAGAAAAGGAAGGGATTAGCAGAAATAGAAGACTGTCTTTTTTTCCTAAGAAAAGCAAAATCCCTCTTCATATATTCACTGGATTCCAAATCAAACCAGTGAAATGAAAGGCCTTTAATCTGACTGACATTCAAGCTCTAACTTTAAATCCTGATTGTAATGGTTTAATTAACATTGAAAGTTATAGAACATCTGATTAGAGAAGTACAATTTTTAAGAATTCTGACATTTTCTTATTGAGACTTTTCCCCAATTCTTACCTGAGTTCATTTAGCCTTTGGTGTTCTTGCCACCACACTTGCTTGTGTTGTTTTATTAGTGTTTGCTCTTTAGAGTTCTTTGAAGTCTGTACTGTTTTTTTGATCTAGATTTAGAGGAACAAAAGAGGAGAAACTTCAATATTTGAAAATGTGTTTTCTTCAAAATAAATCTTTAATCTGCATTTTCTAAATTGAATACTTTCTCATTTTCAATCCTTAACTAATGCATCTTATAACACAAAACTCACCTAAACTAAGCATTATGTTAAACAAAAAGCAAAGTGGGAAAAGAGAGAGTAGTTTGAAATACTGACCAATTTAAGAATTGCTTTTAAAGCATTCATGAGAAGAAAGATGAAGTAATTCTATTTTCCATATATATAATAAATAATACCTTAATTCATATAGCCCTAGGAAAATTTTCAAGAGCTTTCTATACATTTTCTCCCCTTTCTGACACATGTTCCCATGAGGAATGATGAGCATCATTACTCCCATTTTACAAACGCGGACACTCAAGAGAAGTTAAGAAGATTTGGTCAGGCTCATAAAGCTGACCGAGGTAAACAAGAGAATCACAATTAAAACCCTGATGTTCAGCATTTCTGGTTCAAGTGCTCTTTCTGCTACCCCATGGAGATTTTTATCCGATCCCCAGTAAGAGATGGCAAAAAGTCATTGGATAAGTTGTTAGAAGGCCTGGCTTTAGTCCCAGCTTCAGCACTTACTAGAAATATGACCCTGAATATACAATTTTAATCTTTTGATTCTATGACTTTGTAAATAAATTAAGAAAAAAGTATATAGGCAAATATTTATTTGAAAGTACTTAATAACAAAGAAATAATGAAAAGCCATGTAGCGCTGAAACTCAAATTTTCAACTAAATTTAATTTTCCCCAAAATTTTATAACTTTTTAAAATATATTAGTGTTTTTGGGTTTCTGGCAGCAAGTTGTATGGCCTGCACCTGTCTGCCTTCAGATCCGCTCCTCGCCATTTCCCTGATCTGCTACACATTACAGAGCATGCTGTGTTTCTCAGGTGTCTCTATCAGCTGGCTTCCAGCTGGGTTCAGCCAAGAGGAGACACGGGTGTTGGGGTGACTGAAGGGAGGGAGGGAGAAAGAAACTACAGGGTTACTTCCCTGCCATCTCTGACTTTAGAACGGTCTCCAAGAGCATCTGCCTTTTCTCCATTGCTCCAGCTTTCCCTTGGTAGTTCCACTATAGTTCCAACTGGCTCTGGGTAACTTTAGCCCGTGGGATCTGGGATAGCACTGCTTTTTCCCTATGTCCCCATGACCTAGGTGGCAGTGGGTTCCTGCTGCTGTTAACCCCTCTGTATTGCTTCACCAACCTCTGTTTGGCTTCTCAGCAATTCTATCATCATTTTCCCAAATTAAAGAACCCTGGTGGCACAGTGGTTAAAGTGCTCAGCTGCTAATCAAGAGATCAGTGGTTTGAATCCACCAGCTGCTCCAAGGGAGAATGATGTGGCAGTCTGCTTCCATAAAGATTTACAGCCTTGGACTAGATAGCAGACAAGAATTATCTTCGGTGAAGGGAAGGACAACACACACTACAGGGGAAGTCAGCACAACTGACTAAATCAAAAGCTAAGAAGTTTCCTGAACACAACCAAACACTTAGAGGGACAGAGTAGAAGCGGTGAGGGTCTGGGGACCATGGTTTCAGGAGACATCTAGGTCAACAGGCATAACAAAGTTTATTAAGAAAATGTTCTGCATCCCACTTTGGTGAGTGGTGTCTGGAGTCTTAAAAGCTAGCAAGTGGCCATCTAAGATGCATTCACTTATCCCAACCCACCTGGAGTAAAGGAGAATGAAGAAAACCAAAGACACAAGGAAAATATTAGCCCATGAGACATAAAGGGCCACATAAACCAGAAACTTCATCAGCCTGACACCAGAAGAACTAGATGGTGCCCAGCTACCACCAATGACTGCCCTGACAGGGAACACAACTGAGAGTCCCTGACGGAGCAGGAGAAAAGTGTGGTGCAGAACTCAAATTTACGTAAAAATATCAGACTTAATGGTCTGACTGAGCCTGGAGGAACTCTCGAAGCCATGGCCCCTGGACGCTCTGTTAACCCAGAACTGAAACCATTCCCGATGCCCACTCTTCAAAGATTAGACTGGACTATAAGACGTAAAATGATACTCGTGAAGAGTGTGCTTCTTAATTCAAGCAGATACATGAGACCAAATGGGCGACTCCTGTCTGGAAGAGCATGAGAAGGCAGAAAGGGACATGAGCTGGTTGGATGGACACAGGAAACCCGGGGTGGAAAGGGGGAGTGTACTGTCACATTATAGGGACTGCAACTAGTGTCACATAACAATACGTGTATAAATTTTTGTATGAGAAATTAACTTGAGCTGTAAACTTTCACTTAAAGCACAATTCAAAAAACAAGATTTACAGCCTTGGAAACCCTATGGGGCAGTTCTACTCTGTCCTACAGGGCGGCTATGAGTCAGAATCGACTCCACAGCAGTGGATTTTCTACTCTAAATACTTAAGTGATGCCTGTTTCCGGTTAAACTCTGACTGATACTCATTTGCACCCTGAACTCGTGTATTCCATATTAATATTTCTAAACATCTACAAAAGTGCTACTCTCAAATCAGAAACTAGATGAAATACACATATAAATATTTTCTCTGCTACTAGAATACTTATTAACCTAAGAGCTTTGACAGATCAATGCTGAGACATAAAATCTTCAGAAGACCAGTTATAAAAAGGAATCTTTATAATGCATACTATTTCGGGCTGTCATTCACTGATCACTTTAACCTTGAGTTTATCTTTCTGCTGTTGTACTTACTGATTCAAAATTTGGGGTGTAAGAAAACAAAGTAACCCAAAGGTCTTCTAAAAAATACAAAGCCAAATCTTCTCATCAGGAGGTTTTAACAGCGTCACAATTATGAGATTTAGGAGGAAAGTACACTTAAATAAGTATAGGACATTGCAGAAAAACATTCACAGTCTCCATTTTACCTATGGAAAAAAAAAGTGCACAGTATTCCAAAAATCTGACACACTGATGTTTGCTTTAACTCATTCCAACTATTTGCCACCTATAGTCTTTAAAGTTTGTTGCAATAGATGCAACTTTTAAAATTAGATTTCTTTGACATATTTGGTCCATGTTGTACATAAGAAAATTAAAACACAGTGTGGGAAGATATGGACACATTTTTATAGTTTAAAAAAAAAATCAATACTGCTGCCTTTGGGCCCAGAGAAAGGCCAATTAAGTAGACTATAAAAGTCAAAATAAAGCTACTACTTTTCACTAGACACTTCCAATATTTTTCAGAACATCCTGATTTTTGTAAATTTACTCATTGATTCTACTTCTATCCTCAGGTCAAAAATGAAGAAAAATAAAGCCTTACAAGGAACAAAAAAGATTTAAAATTATCAATAGAGAGGTTTCTAAGTGATTCTAATTCATTATGCTGGGCAATATGCCATATGAAATCATAAACATATTCAAAAAAATTTAAGGTGGATGATGATTTTATACAGAATACTGATAAATTAAAAATCCTTTAGAAAAATAATTAAAATATTAAATCCATAAAAGCATCAGAAACAAAAGTTTTCCTATATGTGGTTTATTGTGACAGTCTAAGACAATGAAACCTCAACTAGGCATCTGGAATTACCATGAATGCCCTTTTGGGCCAGAGGACCCATCTTTACATGTAAATTTCAATGACTAGTGGGCAATTTGTTTTGGTTAGATTTGTGTACACATTTGTCAAAATTCATTGAGCTGTATAGCTAAGATTTATGCATTTTACTGTATGTGAATTATATCTCAATAAAGTATGGTTAACATTTAAAAAAATTTAAAAAGGAAAGAAAACAATTACTCTAAGATGCAATTTCTCATCTGTCAGGTTGGAAAAAATTCAAATGTTTAACAAAACATCCTTTGTGCGGCTATGGGGAAGCACAGTCTCTTTTACATTGCTGGTGGGAAGAGCAAATGATACAACCTCTAGAGGGGAGTTTGGAGATGTATAGCAAAATTTCATATGGATTTACCCTTTGACTTAGTATTCTCATTTTTAGAAATCTATCTGAAAACTACATTAGCAAAAGTATAAAAAGATATATGTACAACCTATTCTCACCACACATTTGTATTAGCAAAAGACCAGAGCAGGAAAATTACATCAGTAAAGAGTTCTTGTCAAAATAATTTGAATCTGAATCTGATCAAATCTTGAGCTATAACTACCAGTTTACTGGAAATACAAGAGACAGAGAAACACAGTAAATGACACCACCAGGATGCAATTACCAAAATTCAGACTGTAAGAAACTATACAGGAAAAATAATGCAATTTCTTAAAAAAATAAATTACAAGATATACAAAAAGATGCAGGAGAAAATCCAAAAAAATAAAAACCAGTTGCAATATATGTATCTTATTTACATACTGATTGAATAAACTTAAAATTCTTTTTGTGACAATCAGGGAAAGTTAACACTGACTGGATATTTGAAATTATTAACATTTTTAGGTGGAGTAATAGTATTGCAGGATTTTTTTAAAGCTCTAATCTTTTAGAGATACACGCAGAAATATTTATGGGTAAAATGATGTCTGAGATTTGCTTTAAAACAATTTGGCAGGAAGAGGTTTGTGGGTGGGAGTTTAAAGGAAACAATATCCAAGAGTTAGTAATTAGTTAAAGCTGGATGATGCTATATGGAGATTTATTATTCTATTTGTGCATATGCTTACAATTTTCCATAATGCACAGTTAAAAAAATTACTTGATGGATACTTGGTTTGAACAACAAAAAAAAATTTATTCTTGCTAATCAAAGAAATTCAAATAAAAATAATTGTAAAGATCTCTTTTAGACTTAATTAATTGGAAACTTAGAAGTAATGCTCCAAAATTTGGTCTCAGTTTTCAGCCCAAATCTATTTAGATTCAGGTTCAATCTCAGCCTTTGAAAGACTAAATTGCTGAATGTCCACATCAGAGTTATATCTAGCATCTCAGAACTTGTACATAATCAATGTCACAGTTATTACATAGG